CAGCAGCAGCTTGTAATGGAGCTACCACAAAATCACAAGCAGGGACAATGGACACTCTGTGACGTGCTGTGTTGCTCAGGTACGATCGGTAGGTTGGGGGAGTTATGTGATTTTGGACTCATGATTCAACCTACCATGGGTATGTGGGGTCATGACCCCACAGGGGGTTAAGGAGCATTTGTATATTTTGCAAAAAACGACTACAGCGACGTCCCCTGTTGACACACTCTTCTGACAGTGAACCATTCCCGCACTGAGAGGTGGCTGTCATGACTCCTCTTGATCCCGGAGAGACACTTATGACCGAGACAACCAAGAAATATGGGGGAAGTGACACTGTGATTTCTAAGGCCAGGTCACAGAGGACAACACAGCTTCTGCCTGCTTCGTTTCTTGGAAGACCCCTGACGGGCTGTGAGGAAGCTCAGGCCACAGGGAGAGGAAATATGTGAATATTCTGGCCAACAGGCAGCAGTAGCTGCTGGGCATGTGAGCCTCCAAGGTGACCCCAGCTCCTGCCGCCATCTGACTATGACCATTCACAAGACCCCGAGTGACCCAGCAGCTCAGGAGGCTGAGGCAGGAGGGTCACAAGTTCAAAGCCAGCTTCAGCAACTTAGCGAGGCCCTAAGCAATTTAGGGAGACCTGTCTCTAAATAAAATAAAGAGTTAAAAGGGCTGAGATGAGGTTTCAGTAATCGAGCTTTCAAAGTCCCCCGGGGGCTGTATGAAGTCTGAGCTGCTCTCCAGGGTCAGGTTGTGTCTCCAGCTCCAGCTGGCTCTCAGATAGAAGGTACGTAAATTATCCTGCCTCCCTGTTCTCATCTGTAAAATGGGACACCTTCTATTTTATACTGCTGGGATGTGGATCCCTGAGTGCCTGGTGCAGAGTCGTGGTTCTCAGACTTTACTGGACATTAGATTCACCCTGTAGAGCTTTTCAAACATTGATGTGTGGACCCTCCATTTCCCTCAGAGCTGCTGACGTTCTCTAAGGGGAGCCTGGGAGTGAGCATTCCTTCTCTGGTCAAGGTGATGCTTCTTGTCCGGGGACCCCGCTTGGAGAACGGCTGAGTGGGTGGCGTAGCCCCTGCTCTCCAGCTCCATCTCTGGTCTTCCTCGGTCACCTCAGGTGCTCTGAATTTGCTCTTTCCACTGACTCAGGGCTCCGTCTCCTCCTCTCCCTCCCTTTTGGCATCAGCTCTGATCGTTTGGATTCCCCGTAGCTGGTAACCTGAGCCCCGGCCCAGCTTTCCGCTGAGAGTGGCCGGGTCCCCACCTGTTGAGGCCACCTGATTGACGGCTCCTTCAACCGCAATCATTCCTTTTTTGGCCGCCTTCAGAACTGTCCCCAGCTTTCTTACATAAGCAGACACCTTTCTTCCCAACCAACATTATGCCTGGCACACCTCGGCTGCCGTCCTCACTTGACCCCGTCCCACTCATTTCTTTGATTTGCTGGTACAAATGGGTTTCACGGCAGGGCCAATTAAGCCTCTTCCAGCAAAGGCCTCTGTAAGGTGGCCCTGCCAGCTGGAGCAGGAGGGCCAGTGTGACTGGAGCTGACAGTAAGTCCAGGAGACAGGAGCTCAGGTCAGAGAGACCGGGAGATGAAGGACTGCACAAGTCTCTGTCATGAGCAGAGCTTCTACTTATCCTCATAGTGGTCAAATTAAGAAGAATTTAAACTGTGAGATATAGATATGTGTGTATATGTTTATAAATACAAATTCATATATATATATATATATATATATATATAGTAAAAAAATACAGTTCATACACATGCAACCATCAGAAATAAGAGAGGGAACACTGCCACTCAAAGCCATCTCTAATATTGTGGTCCCAGGGCAAGAGCACAAATGGAGGCTCCCAATCTACAGCTCACACCCTTCTTTTCCCCTGTCTGTCCTGCACCCTTAAGGGGTTATCTACATCTGTACGTGGACACCCCAATCTGTACAATGGAGCCTGGTTCATCTTCCCCAGATCACCTCTTGCCCACTCCTTGGGTCTAGGGGTGAACACATCAGTGTGACCTTCCCTGGAGGCTGAGAGGAAGGGGAACTGGAAAGAGGCCCACCCAGGTGCTGAAAGCACATCCGGGAACATTTGGGTAGGATATTGGGTACTCATCGTATGAAGTCGTGGGGTGCTGTCCAAGAAGGTAGCTGTGAGTCACATCTGGTTATTTAAATCAACCAAAATGAAATAAAATGAAAAATTCAGCTTCCTAGTTACTTTAGCCACATTTTGGGTGTTCAGTAGCCACATTTGGCTAGGGACTAAACAGACAGTGCAGATAAAGAACATCTTTTTTTAAAAAAATGTATTTTAGTTATTGATGTACCTTTATTTTGTATTATGTGTGGTGCTGAGGATCGAACCCAGGGCCTCACACATGCCAGGCAAGTGCTCTGCCACTGAGCCCCAGCCCCAAAGGACATCTTTATTGCTGCTTTGTGTTCTGCCGGGCAATGCTGGTTAGGAAAGAGAATGGCATGGCTCCCCGGCCACCAAGCCATGCAGCCAGCCCACTGGTCCCTACCGAGAAGCGGCAGCAGAGCAGTGGACAGTGGAAAGGCCGTGGCCCAGTGAATTGGAGCACCAGCTGCAAAGGGCAGCAAGCTCAGGCAAGCCAAGGCAGGATGACCTGTCGGCCACCAGAGCTTGGGGACAGTAAGGATGCCTGCTGCAGAAGGCTGCACTGCATCCCAAAACCTCAGCCTTTCACACCTGCGACCAGAAAATGAAAGTGAAGCAGACCTGAAAGACCTCAAGAATTGACCAATAGCATGAGTGTGTTTCCTTAATTAGCATAAATTTGGACCAATAGCAGTGAACCAAGTGGTATATAAACCCCTAGGCTAGCACACGGGGTATCTCTTACTGCAAGAGCTTGGTTCCTGTTCTTCAGGAAGTCCTGCTCTTGCACTCGCTCATCGTGGTCTGTGGATTCCATTCTTCAACTTCACAAGAACTCAGAAAAAGGAATTGATGGTGAGCTGGTAGTTGGGGTCTACTGCAGCACTGGAGGGCACAGCCCACCGTTAAGGGCTGCAACACTTTTCTGCCAACGACCTCAGGCAGACCCCATCCCCATCCGCCAGCAAAATCAGAAAAACTCTGCTTTCACCTGCCAATAGCTTCAGAGAATGGAGTTTCCTCTCAAAACTTCAATTGTGACTCACAAGCTGGCTAGAATGCAGGTGATCAAAATTGGGACCAAATGTCAGTTTATTAGAAAGACTTCAAAGTAGCCATTATGACGATGTTCAAGCAACCACAGGGCGCTCAGTTTTACCTTTAAAAAGTAAAAGTATAATCAAATCCAAAGTATCAAGAAACAAACATTGCAAAACAGAACCGAATGGAGATCTGGAGCTGAAAACTACAATGGAATGAAAAATTCACGGAAGGAGCTTAAGAGTAAAATTTGAAATGACAGAAAAAATGAGCAAACTCAAGTGATTATGCAACCCAAAGAACAAAGAGTAAAAGGAGGTGAAAAACGAACAGGAATGCAGGAAACCATTATGCAAAATAAATACCTGCAAAGGGAGTACAAGGAGAGGAGAGAGAAAAATAAGCAGAAAAAAAAAATGTTTTGAGAAATAATGGCTGAAAACTTCCCAAACTTACTGAAAAACAAATGCCTATCCAGGGAGTTCAATACTCCATGTAGGATTAAAAAAAGACCCACAAACAGATACATAGTAAAAATGTTGAACACCAGAATCAAGGAGAAAAACTTGAAAAAAAATTATCACTTAACGGAGACCCTATAAAGACTCACAGCTGACACCAGAGCTCAAACAGTGGAGGTCACTGGGCAATGGGATAATATCTTCAAAATACTCAAAAAGTCAAGCAAGAAGCCTCCATCCAGGAAAGTTTTCAAAAATAAAGACAAAATAATGCCAGGTGTAGGGGTGCATACCTATAATCCCAGAAACTCAGAAGTCTGAGGCAGGAGAATCGTGAGTTGAAAGCCAGCTTCAGCAATTTAGGCCCCAAGCAACTTAGTGAGACCTTGTCTCGAGGTAAAATATAAAAAGGGCTGGGGGTGTGGCTCAGTAGTTAAGTGCTCCTGGGTTCAATCCCTGGTACCAATAAGTAAATGAATAAAGAAATAAGATAAAATAATATGTTGGGAGTAGTGGTACACACCCGTAAACCCAGTGATTTGCTGAGGCAGGAGGATTGTAAGTTAGAAGCCAGCCTCAGCAACCTAGCAAGGGGCAAAGCGACTTAGCTGAGACTCTGTCTAAAAGAAATTTTTTTTCTTAAAAAAAATTAAAAAATAAAAGTCTGGGGATGTAGCCTCAGTCGTAAAGCATCTACGGGTTCGATCCCCATTACCAATTAATTAATTAATTAATTAATAGTAATGAATAAAAATTGTAAAAAGACTCTCTCAGATAATAAAAAACCGAGACAATTGTTGCTTCCAGGTCCCTCTTACAGAAATTACAAAAGGAAATTCCTCAAGTGAAATCAAGTGACCCCAGAAGGTAATTTGAATACACCTGAGAAAACAAAGGGCACTGCTAAAGATAATTATGCATTTTTTTTTGTACCAGGAATTGAAACCAGGGGTGCTTAACCACTGAGCCACATCCCCAGACTTTTTAAAATTTTTATTTAGAGAAAGGCCTTGCTAAGTTACCTATGGCCTCATTAAGTTGCTGAGGCTGGCTTTGAACTTCTGATCCTCCTGCCTCAGCCTCTCGAGTCACTGGGATTACAGTCATACACCACTGTGCTCGGCTCGAGTCATCTAAAATGTAGATCAATGAGGGATGGATAGATAGATGGATTGATAGCAAGCTGCAGTGCAGCATTAACACAACATCATGTGATTGTCTACCTGTGGTATTGCTGGGTCTCTAACTATACATGTACCGTGGCTGGATCTTCATAGTAACTGTTGGGTCTATATATAATTGCCAATAATAACACAAAGACATACCCTCCAGCAAAGCTGAATTGGGCTAAGGAAAGGACCCTAAATGGTAACTAGAAATGAACAATAGCAAGTGAAGAGAATCAGAAATGATAAGAAAGTTAATATAGCGAGAAAGTCATAAATGTACACATGCTCTCCTTTCCTCCCTGGGGCTCTTTAAAAGACATACAATTGTGAATATTTGTTCAGTTTTATGACCTGATTCTAGAATCCAAAATAAACCTAATGTTCATGCCTCTGTCATTTACAATGAGTTTTCCTATAAAAATCCCTCCATCCTCCCATGACAGGTGACCGTAATCTTGTCATTCCACTGTAACAGAAATGTCCCAAAACTTCTGATCTCAAGGTGTCTGGATATCAATACCTTCCCTCGGGGAACCTCAGATTCTCATGCAGATTTTCCTTTCCTGATTGCTAAGGAAACTGGCTTCACATTTCTGTGACTAAGGAGTCTTTCCAGTGGCTTTACAAAAGACAGGAAATCTGATTAAGAGGGTTGGATATTTCTAATGTCCAGGAAAAGAACTAGCCAAGATTAAAAAGAAAAAATCCCCAAGAAAGTGAAACATTAAAATAGCAAAGTGTTTTAAGTCCTGAGGAATATAAAATTAAAAACAAAATACTTTCTAACCTCATCTCAGTTTGCCTCACATGAGAAAAAAAAAACATGATATGATATGCACAGAATATCATGTATTCCTCAAAATAATATAAATAAAAACACACAGCGCTTAACATCTGCCAGGCACTGTTCAAAGCACAGTAAACATATATTTTAATTCATTGTAGTTCTCACATCTCTCTGCAGTAGATAATAGGTATCATTATTTCCATTTCATGGGTGAAGAAACTGAGGTCCTCATTTCCTTAGGGGTGAATCAGTTGCTCGAGGTCAGCTCGTTAGAAGTTGCAGAGGCAAGAGCTGGGTCACCTATAATCCCAGCTACTGGAGGCTGAGAAAGGAGGATTGCAAATTCAAGGTCAGCCCGTGGGACCTAGAGAAATCCCATCTCAAAATAAAATGAAAAGGGACTGGGGCAATAGCTCAGTGGTAAAGTACCCCTAGATTTCTTTTCTGTTTTTGCAGGGGGCTAGGGGGCTGCGAACTGAGGATTGAACTCAGGGGCACTCAACCACTGAGCCACATCCCCAGCCCTATTTTGTATTTTATTTAGAGACTGGGTCTCGCTGAGTTGCTGAGGCTGGCTTTGAACTCAGATCCTCCTGTCTCAGCCTCCTGAGCTGCTTACAGGTGTACCCCTGGATCTCAATCAGAAAGAAGAATGAATGAAAAGGAAGGAAGGAAGAAGGGAGGGAAAGACAAGAAGAGGAAGGAAGGAGAAGAGAAAGAGACGGGGAGGGAAGGAAGAAGAGAGAGGAGGAGGGAAAGGAAGTTAGTTGCCAAGACAAGACTGTTACCCAGGCTCACGGGCCATGGCCCTCACCCTCAGCCACCATGGTGACAGAGGAAAGAGAGGAGTCGTCCAGGGAGCAGGGGGAAGCCCTTCCTGACACTTCCCCTGAGGCCTGGAGCAGAGAGCACCAGAGCTTGTCATTCCCTTCCCCAAGCACTGCCGGCTCCAGATCTGCCTCCCCCTTTAACCCTGGGGCTGAAAACTGTCAAAGGGCACATACTGTAAAGGTCAGATGCGGCTGGGGCTGGGGCTCAGTGACAGAGCACTTGCCTCGCAGGTGTAAGGCACTGGGTTCGATCTTCAGCACCACATAAAAATAAGACAAATAAAATAAAGGCATTCAGTTCATCTACAACTACAAAAAAAGAAAAAAAAAATCAGATGGCCGGTGGAGGGCTCCACCCTAGGACTTCGCTGTCCACTGACAGCAAAGCGCCCGGGTTTCCCGTCCATCAGGCACGTGCTCAACTTAAAAGGAACACGGTTCCTGAAGCCAACAGTGGAGTCTGAAAAGGCAGGAGACCAGGTTGTTACGCACAATCCGCCCATGGTGTAGTCCCGTCTGAACACACAAAGGGAACAGCCCGGAAAACAGGGACACGTTGCATTTGGAGAGTGCAAGAAAACTCTTTTTTTTTTTTTTTTCAATAAATACTCTGTCTTAAAACGGACAAAAATGTCTACGGTAAACAGAGGCATTGAGGAATTGTTTCAGCTAGTAACATTTCTAAGGCTCTTTGGGGGGATACTTTTTTTCCCAAAGTAAACTTTTAATTTTAGAATTGTTTAGACTTACGGGAAATTTAAGAAGATACATAACAATCAAAAGTCACACAATTCGAATTTAACTGAACGTATGGAAGAAGTGGCCCTTAGGATCATTGAGTGCCTTTCTTAGATCTTTAACTCCCTTTGCAATTTCTTCCTCGCTTACTAGTCTAGCCGAATTTCCTGCTTGTTCATATGTCCATTATTGATATTAATACTTGCATGCAGAATTCCCTTATTTATTTACTTACTTACTTACTTACTTATTTATTTTGGTATACAATCTTTTTTTGTTGTTTTCGTTTTTAAATCTTGTTCCCGGCTGGTGGCCCAGGAATCCAGCCTCGCTCCTGATTGGACATCAAGGGTAAGGGGCGGGTCTTGGGCTCTGAGTGACTTGCGGGAAACTTCAGGGAATTTGGACACGACAGCTTCTCGGAAAGTGGGCCTGGGCTACTGGGCGACTGCCGGTTGATTCGTCTTCTACCGACCCGTTTGGGGACCTGGGAAGCGGGGTCCCCGTGCTCACCGAGGAGGAGTGCTGCCCCTCGGCAGGAGAGGGCTCCGAGGACCGCAGTCGAGAACCCACTCATGTCGTATGCGAGTGGCGCCCCCTGGAGCCCAAAAGGGGATCGTGACCCTGGAGTTGGGCAACTGGGCAACAGCCTGGCAGTAGTGTCCCTATTTCAAAAAGTGCTTTTAAGAATCCTTCAGGGTTTTTTTCTTTCCAAAAACCAGGCGGGGGCAGGTCTTTGGTCAGGCACACCTGCCCCAGGGATGGAGCACCTTTGGAAGTGCTGGATTGCCTCCAGCCTCAGAAGGCTTGGGAACAAGTGCACTTGATGTTGCCCTCATTCTCCTCTTGGGCCTTTCTTTCCCTGTCTCCTCATCCCCCCATATTTCCACGTCAGAGTAAATGATCCAGTGTCCCGAGGAAAAATATAAAAACCGGCAACTTTCTCATGGACCCTGGGCCCAATTCCACATGTCAGCTAGGTTCCTCAGAGCCAGACTCAGGCTCTCATTAGTGAAAGGATTTCCCCAGCCCCAGGGGTGACACTGTTCCTGAGCCGTCTCCCAGGAGATGGCCTGGGTTCTGTGGAAACTGCCTTTATGACGGGAGTCCTGGCAACATCCAATGAGTGCTGAGAATTTCCCACGGAGCAGATGAGCATCAAAATTTAGGCTAACCTAGGACAAATGTTCTGGTCCACTGAATTCTACACTAGAGACATGAATAAATTAATAAACAGACTCCTTTCTCACTCAGAGACTGATAACACCCTTCCTGGAAATCCCAGGAATAGAATCTTCGTAGAAATGGACCTGCTTCACTACCTGTGGGCACTTTGATCAGAATTTGTCCCCGAAAGTTGACAAACTTTAGGCTTTCATATTAGGTTTGGAACTACTGAATTTTTCTCAGAACTATTTATTTGGCATTTAAAAATTCCCCTTGGGCTGGGGCTGTGACACAGTGGCAGAGCGCTTGCCTAGCATGTGGGAGGCACTGAGTTTAATCCTCAGCACCACATAAAAATAAATAGAATAAAGGTATTGTGTCCATCTACAACTAAAAGAATTTTTAATTATTCTTATTTTTCTGTAATAAAAATATCTGTATATATTTATCAACATAAATAACACACTGTAAACTGCACATGTTTAAAATATAATACTTTTTAGCTGAGAATTTCCTACAGAGCAAATGAGCATCAAATTTTAGGCTGCTTATTGAGATATAATTCACCTACCATAAAGTTCACCCTTAAAAGTGTACAAAAGTCTGTAACAAGTGCTGATTTTAAGTTTTTTTAAAAGGTTTTAATACTACAGGGTTAAGTAGGAATTTGAATCGACAGTTAAAGGAATGTCTCTGGGCTTTTCTTACTGGATTTTAGTGTCCTTAAAGGTTTTGTGTTGTGATCAAAGCAAAAATAAAATGCTGTATAAAAATAACAAATTCCAGCAATGATTAATACTCAGATCAGTACCTCTTAATAAAGAGCATCTTCAGCTAATTAGCCCTGCCAAACTATATATAGAGGAAATTCTTCAAGTATTAGATTTGAAAATAAATGCTTCTGCTTAACAGAACTGATGTATTGAAACAATGTATCATGAAGAGGTAAATCGTATTAGGCATCACCATAACTATACAGAAAACATAGACTTGAGTATAATCAAAATGCTAAGAAGTTTCATATGGCCTTGTATGAAAGGAATTTTAATGTTAATAAATGTTTTCCACTTGAAAAAATAAAATGTCCGATTCCATAGCTTTTTATGTATTCCCAGAGTTGTGCAACCATCAGCAAAAATTCCAGAACATTGTCTGCTCTTCAAAAGAAACCTCATACCCAGCAGCCACTCCCCGCACCCCCTCCAGTCAGCTTCTAGAAACCACTAATCAGTCTCTGTGGATTTGCCTCTTCAGCATATTTCATATAAATGAAATCATACATCATACAGCTAAAGTGTAAACTTTGGTGAATTCTTACATACGACACATGTGAAAGCATCCCTATAATTAACATAATGAAAACTTATACTTCTGTTGTAGACATTTGAGAACTTTACAGAACCTAAGGGCATTCACTCCAGAAGAAATGGAGACAGAATTCCATGACTCCTTGCATCTAGTTTGCTCCTTGTGTTTTCTAGGGATATTTCACTCAACCTTTGGTGGAATAAAGGTGGTCAGGGACCCTCTTGAATCCTGCATGTATCAGACAAAGGATTTGGGCAAACCAAAGATTTTACATCCAACAGAGTTTTACTTCAAGTGCAAAAGCCATGGGCCAATAGTTTTGCCCTTGAAGTGGCTTTTGGAATACTCTAGATGTTATGTTTCTTGCGGTGGGAACTACCAAAGGATAAAGTTCGCAACTAGGAAGTGGACGGTGAAGGGGCCATGAGCAATGAACCTACTAATTTGAAGCCCAAAGAAGGGCGGAGTTTCAACAGCTGGATCCAATGGTGCATTTGTGATTTGGGTGGGAGTGGAGAGGAAAGAAAATGACAGTAGAACAAACTTGTCAATTACTTATATTAACTATTGGGAGCCATCGGTATCACTTATGGTTATTTGTGCTGAAATAGAACAAATAAAAGCTTATTGATGAGAACAAAGGTGTCTTCTCCAGAGCCCAGTTGTGCCTGGGCAGTGGGGCTGGTTGTGGGAAGGCCAAAGAAAGTGTGTGGAGACGGCGAAGGAGACTTGAATTTCTTGAGGAAGGAGATCAGAGACATGAGAGACTGCTCCAAAAAGAGATCCGCAGCCACAGGCTGAAAGCTAGCACCTCTGTCCCTAAAGGACTCTGCCAAGGTGTGCTTCCTCCCCCTCATAGCCACCAGCTGGACAAGTGACAGGTATCCTTTCCACAGTGCCCTCCGTTCTGTGCTAGTCCCCACTGAGAGAGGGCTTTTGTAGGTGAGGGTGCAGAAGCAGTGACGTCATAGCACTCGCTTGCCAAGTTTGCTGATCCGACCAGCATCCCAAGGACCAGTTGTCCCCATGAACATGCAAGAAAGTTGCTTTCCACAGCGAGCACTGATGTGCCCTGGTTCCCATGAGCATGAGCGAGAGTCGGTGTCCTTCAGGATAAAGTGCATCTGGACACCCCAGCCCAGGCTCACTGTCACGGTTTGTTGAACCTGGCCAGGTTTTCAGGAACAGAAAGAGGACATTCAGGGATATGGGGTTTTACTGTCCCCCTTTTCTTTAGGGATGATACAAATATAAATATTGAGATCACACACAGAGTTGAATGTTGGGCCAGGAGGGAAGAGAAGAAGGGATCAGAGGCCAGGTTCATCATCACCACAAGGGACAGAGATGAGCAGGTACTGTCTGTAGTCATGAAAGGTCACAGGGATTATGAAAAAATATCCTGAAGGCTTCCAGGAGAACACAACATCAGAAAAGTCCAATGCAAATAAACGATTCGAAGGATTCAGACTACTTAGGTAAGGAGTGCACACAGGAGACTTCTAATGTTCTCACCACACATACTAAATGAACAGAATGAAAAAGAAGGAGGGAAGGAGAAAAGGATGATAATGAGGGGTGGATATGTTAATTGGTTTGCATACAATTATTTTCATAATATCTCTGTATATTAAAATATCACATTGTACACCTTGAAAATATACAATTTTGTTAAGTATCTGGCAAAAAAAAACCTGCTTTTCTTTACAAAGAAAATTTATATGAAATACAGAAATTAGATCCAGGGAAGGAAAGGGCAAGCCCTGGGGAGTGACCGATAAATTGTGGGTTTGTAAGAATGTGGCCCGATGGTTCCACCCTGAGGCCCAGTTGTAATGCCCCATTAAAGATTTACTCAATTAGAATATTTTCTAGATAGGATTAAAAAATAAATCTGCTCAACTGCGTGCTACATAGAGAAACAGCAAAGTTAAGTGTATTGTAAATGCTGAAAATAGAAAGATAGGAAATGATACACAGGTACAAGAAAATAAAAATAAATCATGGTATCTTTTTCATATCAGAAAGAGTGATGTTCAGGTTCAAAAGCATTAAGTGAGGGGAGAAAGTACTCTTCATAAAATCACAGGGTCTAATTCATAGAAAGGGCATAGTAGTTATGATTATGTGCCAAAATAACAGAAATATTCATGAAGCAGCAATTTGGGGAATGAATGAGAATTAGAAACAGGAGTAGTTCAGGCCTTGAATTCACCTGTGTCCATGAGTGACTAAGGAACCAACCAGTTAGCTTCCTGGGGCTCTTCCAGGGGCCCTCGGGTCTTTAATGGTCCAGCAGGTCACAGGATGGGGCTGCGGGACTCCATAGTGTTAAGATGCCCTTGGGTTCCTGAGGAGAGCAGCCTCAAGTACATTCCCCAGGAGGTCTCCTGTGTGAAGCTGCCAAGTGTGGACTCTGCTGATGGGAGACTCCGGTGGCTGCCAGCAGGGGGCGCGAGTGACCAGGTTTCCTCTTGTGCAGGGCTAGGGTCACTGCAAAGTGCTGGAACAAAGGTTCTTGAATTCTACAGAGAGGTGGCTTAGAGTCCCCTCTCTGCTTCACATCAACTTAGCCTCTCCTGGTCAGAGAAACAAGAGGTAGACCAGCTCCACTGGCCATCCAGAGAGAAGGAATGTTCTCCCCCATGGATCCAAAAGGTCCGGAGCTAGCTGGGTGCATGGTGCGCACCTGTGATCCCAGCACCTTGAGAGGCTGAGGCAGGAGGATGGCTTAGTGTTTTTATTTTTTCTCTATTTTATAACTGAGCACTTTTTATGTTTTACTTTGAGAGAGGGTCTCACTAAGTTGCCAAGGTTGGCCTCACACTGAGGATCCTCCTGCCTCAGCCTGGTAGCTGCTGAAATCAGACACGAGCCACCTTGCCCAGCCCCGGTCATTCTTTGTCACCACCCTGTGGCTCCCCTTACGTGGTGCATCTTTTCTAACCCCATTAATGGACTGCGGGGTCACCAGTTTCTAAAGTGGGCAGGAGTAGTGGAGGTGGTTAGGAAGGTCAATCGCCAC